AATCAACCACTACGCCTCTGTGACTAATTCTAGCCCATGCGTGCCTTGCCGCTGCACGGTCTCCTCTGACCCCGCGTGCCCGGGCTGCTGGCCACAGCTCGCGTGCGCAAAGACGGGTCCGCATATCGCTCCCGGCTCGCACATGGCGACATGGATGGGATCGGGAGGCGGCCCGCACATTTACATTTTCACTGACTGGCTTTCTTGCATGCGTACCAGCCTCTGGCATCTTTACAGGTTTCCCTCACTTTATGCTGTACATGCATTCCTGGAAAATGGCACATAACTCAAATTCACATAAAGGGAACCCACTTTGCAACATAACTAGGGATATGTTCCAAGACCTTGACTGTACTGACCCCCAAGCCCATTTCTACCACTTACAAGACAATTTTGGTACTTGCCAACAGCAGACAGTACACATGAAAACAGGGCACTATCATAATGGGGATGACAACTACAGAAACATTGCAGACAACGAGTGAAGAGCACAGATCCATGCAGGAGACTATATTTTGGTGCGCATCACTCCCACAATACATTTCACAAAGGGCTGTGCGAAGTTTCGGTCGCTGATTTGTTTTGGTGGAGATTTGGCCTGATTCGGTGGCCGAATCTGAATCGAATCGGAGGACCCTTTAATTTCTCTAAATTGAATCGGAACCCTCGAATCAATTCGGAGAGATTCGGAAATGTCTGGAGATTCAGACAGACGCAGAGTTAAATGTTTTTTCTACATACCTCTAGGTAGCAGGCGATTGTGAATGCTGAGATGCTGGGGTGCATGGAGCGTCCCACAGAAGTGCGAGGGGCTCCCCAGTGCGCTTGGCAGCAGACCCAGAAGTGTTCCAGAGGCACTTCCGGTCCTCTTCCAGGTTTGCCACTGAGTGGGTGCCACCCCCCCGCGCTACTGTGGGATGCCCCATCTGCCCTAGCATCAGTGTTCGTGAGCTGTGCCTGATACCTTGAGGTATGTAGAAAAAACATTTCAAGCTCTGTGTATGTCTGAATCGCTGATTCTCCAAATCAGCACTGAATCTTCAGATTTGGATTCGGCCAAATCGAATCAGCAACAGCAATCAATCAATGAATCGAATCGCTGTCCCTGATTTGGGCCGAATCCAAATCTGAATTGAATAGGGCCTGCTTCGCACACCCCTACTACACATGTTGGAGCAGAGTAAATAACTCGGCTATAGGATAGTACTTGTGTCGGGCAGTACTATTTTACGGCAGAGTTAATTAGTTTACTCCAGCCTAATAGTTCCACATGCGTATACAGTGATGCTTTACCATGGAGCTAACTAGGGCACTCTGCAGTAAGCATTTCATGTAGCTGCACCCAGTGAGAGGCAATGCCTTCCCACAACCAGCATGGGAACCCAGCCCCAAGCCATTATGCTGTGTTGTTGCTCTCCTTTCTTTAGGCCAGAGGGACACCAGAGCCCCTTGCTTTGTAGTGTAGCCTTGGCTTGAGGGGGGTCAGGTTGCAGGCTGGCTTTCCATCTCAGCTCCCCTGGCATGGATTGAGATGGACAGTCAGGCCTTTTTGTGCCCTAGAAGAGTGCCTGCACTCTTGCAGGCTAGCGACCTGGGCTGAGATGCTTGCAGTGGTTAGGAGTGGCAGGGGGCTAAAAAGCATTGCTTTCCAATCCACCCAGCAAGGCGGGTGCCAGAGTCTCAGAAAAGCTGAGTGACTACCTCCATTCTGCATAGAGGAAGAGAGGTTTCAAATCAGGGCCTTCTCTTCCCTGTCACATAAGGTAGCCACTGAGCTAAAAAAATTAGCTGTTATGAGCTGAGGTGGAGGCTTGTTGGTTTGCATGCAGGGGTGTTTGAGAGAGAGGTTGTATGCCAGGAGGGAGGGAAAATGGCCAGGTGCAGCACCAGGTACAGAGGGAAGCCTCAAACCCAGCACCTCAGCCTTGGTAGGTCTACAACCCTAACACTGGGCTTTCACCCAGGGCCTCGTGGCCTGTCCTTGGTGAGCTAGAGATGTTCCAGGGAAGTGGGCCAGGGTCTGCTGGCATCTGTTCAGCACTGCTAGAACTTGGCAAGCCCCAGCCACTACTTTGAGATGCATCCTTTGCACCTGCTTGGGTCAAAGCACTGGCCTCAACTTTGTGCCTCTTCTTACTTATACACACAGGAAACCCACTGTCTTCTACAATGTTGGACCACGTAGTCATATTCTTGGATGCTTTTCAGAACACAGCCCCTGCTCCTTACCCCTCAGCCTCATACTGCAGGTATGGTCTGCCTTCCTTGTCTTTTGATAGCTAACTTTGCATTGGGTATATTTTAAGTAGAGGGGTTGGGATGGAATATTAAATAGTCTGCAGTTACAAAGTGATCCATATAATACTCACTGTCCTGATGGCCCTCAAAGCTACCATTCTGGCAATAGTTATACAAAAACAATTATCTTTGTTAAATAAAGGTACTAGCTTGATATTATTCACCAGTCCTTGCAGAACCAAAGTAGAGACATCAGTTCTTAATCTATTTTGCATATGCTTCATGTGGAATTAATTCAAGCTTCTTAAGAAAGTGTAATTATATTAAATCTGTGCCATTACCTTTATCAAACAAACTTGTAAATCCAAGAATTAAATAAGATTTGTTGGACAAGAGCCATTTTCCATAAGCCATCTTGACTGGCATTAATTAC